TTATTTTGACCGCACGTCATTTTGAACAAAATGCATCGCTATATTCCAGATTCAAGAACAGAGGCAGAACTCCTCTTCTTTGGTTCTTTTGATAAAGTCACGTAGAATGAGAATAAAATAATAAATTGATAAAATAAAATAACACGATAAAATTCTCACGACGTTTCGGCCACAACACAAGCGGCCTTCATCAAGTGAAGGGACGAGACTGTCTGAAGGACAGCGCTGGAGCGAAAAAGCCACGCTCAGATTGCGACCTTTAAGCTGAAACGTCGTGAGAATTTTATCGTGTTATTTAATTTTATCAATTTATTATTTTATTCTCATTCTACGTGACTTTACCGAAAGAACCAAAGAAGATGAATCCTTGCAGTCACGAAAGCTTTAAATCAAAATTTAAGAGACAGAACTATGAACTTGCCAAGGGTGGGAGGGTGCGGTCCAGAAATGTAAAAATGTTCAAATGGGCCCCAACATTATTACAAATGTTAAAATCACCGTGGCTTCTGTCGTAAACATAAAAAAACAGCAATTTTACATCGTGCACCCTTGGATCCACCACTGCTCAGCGAGAAGGATTTATTAATAATTGCGAAGGTGTAAGTCTCAAAGTTACGGGGTAAAGAGAGAATGGTGTAAACGTTGAGCTCAGTTGTGAGTGGACGTCTGGCTGGGAAGGATGGGGACGGATGGAGCGACGCGAGATGTGGGGGATCGAGGGCGCGTCGGTGAGTGGGTGGGTGGTAGGCCGGAGCTCCTGAGCGCACGACGAAGTGAGCGGCGCTTGTGGTGGCGGTGGCGGCGGCGGTGGTGGTCAGGCTCGGAAAGCCTTCACAGCACTCAAAGCCACAGCGTAACAGTGAGATTTAAAAGCAATCGGTCACCCATCTCATTTAACCTTAACCTCAAAATTCACTCGTTTAACATTCGTCCACCGCTTTGTGCGGAAGTCGACGGCGATTGTCCTCTGGGGAGACTCGTCCCCGCCATAGGAATGTATAATTTCCACCACTGGCTGAGGGTTATAAATATGGTAATGAGCACCAATGCCTCATGGTTCGTTTCAGCAAGTCACTCCGGCAATAAAAAAAAAATATGAAACACGATCGTCGATGATGCTGCGGCCTTACAAGGAAAAGTAGATAACAGGCGACGTTTCGGGCGATGGCCCTTCTTCATAGCTCATGAAAGCTTAATGAATTCACCACCAAGAGAGCGGCTCATGATGGCATGAGGGGTGGGGGCCCGGGCCGGAGGCTTGCCTCCCCGTTCGTGAACGACGAGCGGCCCGAGTTTGTCTGACGCGGTTCGTGTCGGTGGCTCTCCCAATCGAGTGCTCTCCTGCACGCTTTAGGGTTGTTGCCTCGTGTTGCTCGGTACGTCGTCCGACTCTTCGCTCCACATGCTGGGAGCTTCTTGAGGAATTGAATTCCCAGTTGTAGTCACTATTATTCTTCTTTGGTTCTTTCGGTAAAGTCACGTAGAATGAGAATAAAATAATAAAATAAAATAACACAATGAAATTCTCATGACGTTTCGGCCACAACACAAGTGGCCTTCTTCAGGTGAAAGGAACAGACCTGTCGGGACGACAGAGCTTCAATGAACGTTGTTAAGATTCGCAGCGTCTTTTAAGCTGGTTGAGAGAAGTGAGGCACCTTGACAAAGGGGTTTACATATCAAACAGGAGAATTTAGCATTGAAATAGCTGAGGGATTAGCTTGTGACTGGTCACAGAAATGGCTATGTTAAAGTCAAAGCCTACACATCCACAGAAGCACCTAGTACAAATCAAACAGGATAATTTAGCATTGAAATAGCTGAGGGATTAGCTTGTGACTGGTCACAGAAATAGCTATGTTAAAGTCAAAGCCTACACATCCACAGAGGCACCTAGTACAAATCAAACAGGATAATTTAGCAGCAGTAGCAGCGGCTTTTGGTTGGCCATCGAACAAAGACGGTGGTCACCGCATCGCGCGCTTTCAGATGCGCTTCTGCGGCCGTCTGGAACGCTCTTCCTCACGATATTGGGAAGCCACTGGAGCTATGCACTTTTAAATCACTTAGATTGAAAACGAATTTCCTTAGAACTACTTCTTGTGGTTAGTTTGTTGTCCTTCCCCCGCACCTCTGATCAGTACGGTTGGCTATGTACTGTGCAAAAGAAGTGCAACAGATCTACATGCATAATCTCAGTTATATTGCGTGGCGCTTTATGTGGAAAAATGTGAACACATTAGCATGAAATATTTGTCTTAGCAAATTTATAGTTTTTTGGAAAGGCATAAATGGGTGCACGTTGCTGCCCATTTTGAATCGATCTTCTGAGCATTGGCTTTACAATTTACCAAGCTAGTCATGTGCACCATACATACACAACACAGGAGGATGTGAGGGACGACCATCGCCCTATCCTATTATCCACGATGTTATCTACGAAATGTACTCAGCGGGATAAAGAAACCACGGATGACATCGCTGTGTGTATTTCCTATTCCGCTCATTTACCCAGGAGAGAATCGCCGAGTCTCATGGCTCGTTCCGCAGTGCAGAAAACCCCACAGGTAACTGCAGATGATCGAAAGAACAGAGGCACGGATAATAATAATAATAAGAGTGAGCCACCCTTCCAGCCCTCGTGAATAATAGGAGGCATCGGTCATAGGGTACTGAATTAGAGGCGTTCTCCCGCGTGTGTGCGTGTGCAGCATTGCCTCGTTATTCGCGAGGGGTACGTTCCGGAGATGCTCGTGAATAGCAAATTTCGGGAATATTGTTTTTGGCCTACGAAAACCTATCTTTTTAATTAATTCCCTTTAATAAACACGTAAATAGGCGATTAAATACGTGAAAATTATCATAACACAAAAATAAAAATTCGGTATAATAAACATAAAGCAAATAAATATTCAAGTATTAAATAATAGTTTATAAAAAATATTAGCTTAACTTATGATGCTACGCATCATCACTTTCTCGCATCACTTTATCTCATCACTTTATCTCATCACTTTATCTCATCACTTTATCTCATCACTTTATCTCATCACTTTATCTCATCACTTTATCTCATCACTTTATCTCATCACTTTATCTCTCGATGCTGTAGTCGTATGGAGTTCCAGATGCAATTCGCGGATAGCCAGAATCGCGGATAGCATGTACACGAATACCGTACAGACACACACACAAACACGTGATGCAGCTCACAGTAATCGGCAGCCGCGAGATGGCAGGGAGACGTCGTCACAGTGTTTGTGCGGCCATTGCTGGACAGGAGCGACTGGGAAAGCAGGGGAACGGGAGGGAAGATGGGGAGGGGGGAGGCCTTTGGTGAGAGGGGGTAAGTTACGGGCTGTGACAACGACGACAACAACAACGTTCATCGTACCTTCCTGTGGGAGAAAGTGTAAAAGTTTAAAATGGTAACCAAACAAATAAGTGGAAGAAATGGGAGGGAGGGAGAGAGGTGGAGGAGGAGGAGGGGGTAGAGAGATTTAGAGCACACACACACAGGAGGAAGGAATCATCTGTGGGTGTTTGTGCTGAGCCCATGGACTCCTTTCATGTCGTGCCAAGAAAAGGAATGAAAGAAGTAAAGAAATAATTATATAAACTTCCCCCCCCCCCCAAATCTTTTATCCTACTGGGCTGCGTTTCAAAAGATGTGGAGTGGATTTGCCTTTTGAGAATCGTTAACGAATCTTGTTTAGTGCCGCTTTTAACCAAAACACGAGCTCCTGTCCTTCTGCTCAACTATTTTACGCGCGGATCGCGGAGTGAAGCACGGCAATGAAAGTACATCACCATCGTCACCATCGTCACCATCACCATTGTCAACCATGGCCTATCCGCCGCTGGATGAAGACCCCCCCCCCCGAGCCATCGCCGTCTCTCGCCGGTGTCATGGAAACCTCACGGGGTGGTGTTCGCCGCGTGCCAAGGAGTGGTGGCCGCCGATCGGAGTTATTCACCGAACTTCTCCGGCACGATTTGTGTCCCTTTACCGTATTCTCCCACATACTCTACCGTGTGGGATTTTTCACATGACGAGTCAAACCCAATGTTTTTTTTTTCACTTCTCAAGAGCTGAAATGTAGCCAAATTAGCGCTTCACCAGATTTCACGTGATGTTTATTTATTTTAGTTTTACGTGCGCAGTCATTCGTCACTGGGACGATTACCGTCGTACTCGCGACAGCCGGGAGCGCGGTTTAATGACGCGCGTGGCTGGAACGCCGAGCGGACCGCGGGGATGCGTCGGAGCGGGCTCGGCGCTGTGACCACGGCGCCAGCCGCGCTCGCGCCCACGTCGAATGGCCCGCTCTAAACTGAAGAGACCGAACGTTCCCGAGCAAGCGAGCGAGCTCTGAGCCAGCTTGATCGTTCTCGTGCTTGTTCACTGTTCGTTCGGTGGCATTTATTTTTTTTACGCGTGGCAACTTTTCAGGAAGTTAAGAGTTCCGTTCCGATGGATAAACTGGCCCCCGCCAAGCGAATGTGGAATGTCCACTGTCTGAGAACGACTAACAGAGATGATCGGCATCACCCCACGTGGTCGGAATCGGTGTTCGACTTTTTCCTGGACAGTCCCTTTCGATGCTACGGAGACCCACACTGTATTATTATTATTATGGCCTCACGTTTATTAGTTCAAGTGTCGAGTTCATTTCGTGTAACCAGGCGAGAACCCAAGAGGTGGGGATGAGTCTCACTTGCCAGGGTGACGTCGGTCAACTTCTCCGTTACCCGGCGATGTTGCTGTAGCAGACGACGGTGGCTGAGTGCGGCGTGACCATGCCACAGTCACCGTGGACGCATGTAGCCGCTCGTTGTGCAGTCACTCGTGTGCAGTCACTCGTGTGCAGTCACTCGTGTGCAGTCACTCGTGTGCAGTCACTCATGTCCAAGGTTGCTCTCATCCGCACCGCGTCCCCCACTGTCCGCGTCCCGCGTGTCCCACTGACCGTGTCCGTGTCTGTGTCCGTGTTGCCCAGGCGAAGCTCGCGATCCAGCGGGGTGCCACGGCCGTCATCTTCGACGTCTCGGAAAACCCGTCGGCCATCGAGCAGGTACCATACAGTCGGGGCCGTGTTCACCGATTCGTCTCATTCAGATCGCTCGTTTGGGGTCGCACGAAGCAGCAGCAGCAGCAGCAGCAGTCGTCGCCCCCCACCGGCAGGGCAATGGCCGCTGGCACGGCAGGTTGCCGAGTCATCCTGTGCCGCACAAGGTGACTCAGCAACCTGTGCTGAGCCACCTTGTGGCGCGCAGGGACAGCTGCCACTGGGGGTGCCCTTTCTCACGTGTTGAGATGAGATGTGACGCGCTCTGCGATGACGCCCCGAGTGTAGGTGGGCGACCTCTACCAAACGTAAATGTACAGCGCTGGCATTGAGATACCATCAACGGCATTCGTATGCGGTACCACGTCGCATATCTGGTGCAGGTGGATGTGTGAAATGGTCAGATGCGTGAATGTGTCTGGAAGGTGACGGTTACCCCACGCATGCACGCCTGGGACCGCGGGTAACGATACGGCGGAAGATGCTTCGAGCCTGCCAATCGCTCGGCTACTTTGGAAGCGAGCGGTCGCGCATGCTCGGTTGAGGACGCCCATCCACGTGCGGGGAGCCCAGATTTGTTGAACTTGGGTCGGGAAACGACGGTTACACCACATGCGACGGTCGGATACGCGACGGCCGGATACGCGACGGTCGGATACGCGGCGGTCGGATACGCGACGGTCGTCTCCGTTGGTTACGCGTGGGGGTCACCCGCGGGGTGGGCGCGTCGGACGCGAACCCGGGCATGTGATGTCTGTCGCCGGGGTTGTCGTTCGGCTTCCCCCCTTTGGGGCGCGACGCTGGAAGCTTCTCTTCCCCGGCACGGTGAGCCAGACTCTGCAGGATCGTGTCCACAGTGGTCTGCTGATATTCGCTGCTATTTGTTGGTATTTGCATTGCAAAACAGAGCGATTTGAGTTGCAGAGATAATGTCATTTATACAAGGATTCCATTGCACCCACACACGCCGAACGCATGCTACGCACACGCACACATGTGCGCATGCACACAAGACAAAGATCCCCCATATAACCTTAACAGACTGTTGGGGCAAGTGCTGTTAGCCAGCAGGACCTATGAACGTCGGCACGGCACACGACGGGGTGGGTGGACAGCACCACGCCCGCTGCCTTTGACTCCCTCGTCGCGATGTTTACACACTGCACCAGGTACTCGTTTGAGGCTGCGTCCACCGAGGGGAGGGCCAGAACCGGTTCAGATATTTGTCACGTGGTGTCAGGCATGAGCGGGAATCGAACTCGGGTCTCTGGGTTCGTAGCGCAGCGTGCTAACCGCTGCCGCACTACACACCTATACAAAGAGACGCACACACACGTAAGACACACACGTGCACATCACCAGCAAGACAAGACATGAGCGTAGGCCTCAGAAACCCGCCACGAGCTCCCACATTTATGATTATTTTTATATTTTTGCCGCTTCTTTAATAAAGTCTCGGGTTTAATCTGTGTTATACCACACATCCTGAGGCTTTGGTAAATTGATGGAGCATGACTGCCTTGGACAGCTTTCCCTCACTTTCATTATTAATGTCTTTCACAAACATTTAACTCCTTGTTATTTATTGGCTAAATGTGCCCTGCAGTTTTTACGAGGCGCTTTACCGTTTTTTTTCCTTCGTTCGCTCGGAAGACCCGGAGAAAAATCTGCGCGATCACGGGGAGAGAGAGACACAAACTCAGCAGGCGTCAGGGTCGGGATCGAACCCACTACCTCCTGCACATCAGGCGAGGGAGTCTTGCCCACCGCGGCGAGACGTTAACGGGGCGGCGGCGATAAGAGAGAGAAGGGATCGTTGCATCGCGGCACTGCGAGAGATGGCGACGGGCTCGGGAATGGCCTTCGTCCAGCAGTGGATAGAGCGTGGCTTCACGACGACAAGAGCGATGACGACGACGATGATGATGATGGATTGCTTGAGCAGTCGCCCCACCGGGCTCCCCCGCTCGCCCAGCCGCCACCCGCGGATGTGACTCGCCAAGCAGACCCATTTATTCTGACAGCTACTGTTTATAAAAAAAAGTCGTCTCATCTCCTGCCGCAATCTTTAGCGAATGGGATGCCGAAGAAAACCTCTCCCCCAATGTGTGATGAAAACAGCAATGAGAGAGAGCGAGCCGTTGTTGCACAGTTTGGAAATGTTTCTGTCTTGATACGCGCGGAGGAGGAGGACAAGGAGGAGTGGTGGCGATGTGGTTAGCGCGTCGTGCTGTTCATCACGCCCAAAGTGTGCTTTGTACACGTGGAAACGTGTCCGTTGGGATGAGTACATGAATGTGCATATGACTGTAGAACATGCATATATGCTACAGTAGATCATTGAGGTATCATTCGGTGTTTATTTGTTTACTAATCAAGTGTTTAACATTCATCATGCACCATTCACAGCAGTATCCAGTGACCCCGGCCGCACTGCGTTCACTTTGAACTGCATACGATACTGTACACGGCGGATCGTGTACAGTATCGTCAAATGTGGTGGGTATTCCCACCTTCCAAAATGCCTTGCCAGTGTGGAAGAGTAGGCCCAAACCCCTCTCTAGAGGGGGCTCTCTTGAGCTCCGTCTAGTGGAGACCCTTCCACGGGCAGTGGCGTGAGCACTTGCAGGGCCGCGCCTTTACCCAGGGAGAGGAGCACCACGCCGTTCGGAGCACCGCCGCACAGGGCTGTGAACCCGGCGACCCGAGTTCGATTCCCGGTGACCCGAGTTTGATTGCCGGTGACCCGAGTTTGATTGCCGGTGACCCGAGTTTGATTGCCGGTAACTCGAGCTACCCGAGTTCAATTCCCGGCGACCCGAGTTTGATTCCCGGTGACCCGAGTTTGATTCCCGGCCACGGTTTGACATGAGTGGCGCATGACACCTGAATCGGTCCAACCTGCACGCCAACCGCCATTCCCACCTTGCTGCCCCTCAATGACCAGCATGGTCAGTGTTGCAAGGTGTGGTCAGAGAACCCCCGTGACCTAAACCATTTGTTAATCAAACTAAACTATATCATTCACCATGTAAGGCCCACTGAGCGATTCGCTCTTTTTCATAAGCAACGTGGTCAACGAAGTGGCTTATCATGTGGAAACGTATAGCAGCCAAATACTGTAAACGCGTGATGATCCGGAGAAAAATCCACACGACCACGGGGAGAACGTGCAATCTCCAAAACATACAGCAGCAGGTGTCAGGGTCGGGATGGAACGCACGACCTCCTGCATGCCAGGCGAGGGAGTTGACATCTCCTAGCCACCGCAAGATGCAATCGTCACCGGTGGTGGGGGGCGGTGGGCCTTCCTCCGTCAGTCGGGAATGGGGTCGAGGATGTGTGGAGTGTATCTGAGCGTGGTGCCCTGCGCGAGGATCTGTTGCCGTGTGGAGTTTGACCCCAGGCCCCCTTCGTCTGCCTTTTATAGTCTCAGTAGCAGCGAGAGGGGTGGAGAGGGCAGAGTAAAATGTCGCGCTCCGTGTAGCACCACAATAAACGCCGGCAATAATAACCCTCGCACACCAGGGCCCTGGCGCAATGCAAATGCTCGACAGCCCCCGATGTTTATTTGCGCCAATAAATCTCGAGAGCCGGGAGTGATGCCTCGGTTGTTTGCGCACCGCGCGGTGAACTCAGCAACCCGAGTTTGATTATCTCCCCACCCACACCCCCCTAGCACCCCCCCCCCCCCCACGGCTGATACCAGAGATGAGCGATACCAGAATCGGACCTGAGCCCCCCAACCCTTTCTCCTTTGCCAGTCTCTGCACACTGACCAGCGTGGTGAAGTATGGTTAAACAAACGCTCACGACAGACATGAGAGTAAAGTTGCAAAGGGCGGCGGCGTGCGCCCAGCGAATTGTGTTCGGATCGGGGAGGGGGGGAGGGGGGGAATCGTTTGAAGACGGCGACCCATTTCAGAGTCGGTCGCCTACGAATCAAGTTTCCGCGATGAATAATTAAACCAGGGTCAAATGAAACATCGACACGGAGCTCACGACCGACGCGACCTCCACGAGCAGTCGGAAGACGAGCGAGAGGAGTATTTTGCTCGGGAAGTTTCGATGCAACAGCCGCCATTGATTACACTTCTCTTGCCCCGTGCACGCGGCCCCCCGCCCGGGTTTTGTGAAGAACCGAGGGGGTGACCCCGCCGGGGCCGGGAGGACGACCGCGTCGTGCACGCACGCCGTCTCTCCGACGCGCATTCGGGTCGTACAGCGCGCTGTCCGGAACTTATTCAGTTTGATTCCTGACGACCTCCTAAGTCAGGTTCGATTCCCAGCCTCTTGTGCCGCAGCAATGCAGCCTTGCTCAGTCCCCCAGTGGTGCAGAGGGAACGTGCACCTGGAGAATCGGCACCTGGAGAATCAGCACCTGAAGCGTCAGCACCTGGAGCGTCAGCACCTGGAGCGTCAGCACCTGGAGCAATTGCATTTATGATCGAGCTCCTGCGCGATCTGTCAGGGAACCTCGCTCTGTTGCTGCTTTTGAAGTGAGACTGAAAACACACCTTTGCGAGGTGACGCTCGCAATCGCGCCATTTAGTCTTCGCCGCTCGCTGCTGCCGCCGCTCCAAGTAATCGTTGTGCCCTCCGTGTTTCCGCTTCGCACGCCGTCGCTCTGCTCGCTGCGTGCTGCTGTGTTTCTCCCTTCAATTCACGATCTTTCCATCGCGCCATTTGCCTGCCGTTTTTGTGTGAAGGCGATCCCAGCATGGGCAGCGCTGTACAACGTGAATGTCGATCAATGTCGTCACCGTGTCGGTACGATGTCAACGTTTAACGTTAACCCTCCACCACCACTCAGCTGGCTCTATCGCTGGGTTGGTGAAGGGGTTAATAATCTAGATTTGAAGTTTTCGTGACCTCAGGGATCCATACTCTTTGGTTCTTTCGGTAAAGTCACGTAGGTAAACACATTTATTTTATTTTATACCTAAATTACTTTACCGAAAGAACCAAAGAGTAAGGGGTTACTAGTTAAACATTGACCTTATACCTACATGGCCTATCCGAAAATAAACTCATTAGGAATGTCAATTGATTGAAGTTGCCAGTTTTTGTCACCGAGCTCCGCCAGAGGTTAACTCGGCATAAAGTGTCGTGTGATGTCATCGCGAGCACTGGGGGGATGAAGGTGGCCGCAGGGGAGACTTTGGGCGGTTCGCGTGCCCCGCTTGCCCTGACGTGCGCTTTGCCAACCTCCGCACTCGTCCTGGCAGCCTCTGCTAGGCAAATGGAGATTTTGTGTTTGTGCAGCCGTGTGTGTGTGTGTGCTTTGCAGGAGCGGTAGTGTAGTGGTTCGTGGTTAGCGCGCTGCTCTATGAACCCTGCGACCCGAGTTCGATTACCACTCGCGACCAACATCGGTGACGAATATTTGAACAGGTCCTGGGCCTCCTCTAGGTTGACTCGGCCTCAAATGAGTACCTGGTGCAGTGTGTGTAAACATCGCCGCTAGGAAGACAAAAGTGGCCAGGCGTGGTGATGGCCATCCACCTCCTCGTGTTCCGTGCCGTTCTTCATAGGTGCTCACTTAACAGCACTTGCCCCAAAAGTATGTTAAGGCTATACAGGGGGTCTTTATCTCTGTCTTTTTGTTAGTCTGCTCAGATGTGGGTTGTTGTTGTACTGGCAAGCGCTAGCATGTGCACTGACGTGTGGAGGTGCGTGTGTGTGTGTGTGCGTGTGTGTGTGTGTGTGCGTGTGTGCGTGTGCGTGTGTGTGTGCGTGTGCTCTAGATGCGCGAGTGTGGGGGCTGCCGCGAGCCACCGAGTGCCGGCACGGCGGCGGGTCCAGTCCACAGAGTGATTCGGCCACAACCGGGGGTCACCCATAATTACAGTTATAGCAGCGTTGATAGCTCCCAATTACAATTACCTTGACACCAGGTCTGGATTTGGTCCACTCGCTACACCGAGTCTGCCTTGGGATCGCATCCATCTGTGCAGAGCCTTGAGCGTTATCCCCTCGCATGCGTGGTGTCTTTCTTCCGGGCACTCCGGTTTCCCGCCACGCGAAGACAACCGTTGGGTAGCAAAAGAGCCCCAAACATCCCAACGATGCTGCGGTTCCCAGCCAAAAACGAGCCGCCTTCAGACTTGGCGAGGCCTCCCCGTGCGAGGAGTGCCCCCCCCCCCCCCCCCCCCCCCCCCCCCACCGTTGTTCACGAGGCCCCGGCCCGACCGGCCACCGGTGGACGGTGCGAGCGTCGCCGCTCCTCTGTTGTTTCACGTGCTCCGCCATGCCGTGACGGCGGCGTCCTGTCGAGACTTGCCACCAGAGCCGACCCCCCCATTCCCACCGATCCTCTCGGCCTCTTCCCGTGTGACCGGAGACGAGCGCGGGTCGGCGAACCTCGCGCCCGGAGACGCGTGTGCGTGTTTTCTCTGTGACCCGCCCCCCCCCCGTGCGTCTGCGTCTTCCGTGCGGGCCCGTCCGTGCTCGCTACGAGTGGAGCGGTGCGCTGCGGCGATCCGTCGACTGATGATGGATGGCGACTCGCGATGATCGCCCCGTGCACGGTGGCCTTTAGAATCGGCGTGTTTTGTCCATCCGTGCTGATTGGTAATTGCCCGTCAAGGGCAATACGAACTGGATGGCAGAAATTATTAGGCAAAAGGAGAATTGGTTCCTGACTTGAATCGCAGGCCCTTATGCGAAGCTATTTGCCAAATCACTCGCAAGTGGTGGTGAGGGGTGGGGGGGAGGGATGGAGGGATAACAGGAGGAATTGTTATTATATTATTATTTCGCTTACCGTCTCTTGTTCAGGAGACTCCTGCCAGGTTTTCACAGTAGGGGGCGATGCTGCTGTGTCACCCTAATTGGAGTAATTTGCGGGTACTTGTTTCAGCATGGGGGTGGGGGATGTTTGGTCAACACCGGTCCCACCGCTTGGGTTTTTTGGCGGTGTTTGTGATAACCACGGCACCCATGTCTGTCCGTCGCGTGTCCCGTTCTCGTGGGCCCTGCAGCTGAACGGGGCGGTGACCGACACGCTGTCGCGGCCCGTCATCTACGTGCGTGGCGCCGACGCCGTCAAGCTCATGACCATCGTCAACGACGAGAAGGTGGCGCGCGCGCGCATCCAACCCAAGGTCGGAAACGAGGTGAAGGCGCGCGGGTGGCGGCGGAGGGGGGAGGGAGGAGGGGACGCGCGGGCGAAGCCTGAGTGCCAGCGTTGCTTTATCGCCGTGAGCTGTTCGACGCGACGTTCCGACTTTTCGCCGCTGCGCGCTCGGAGCGGTTCCTGGCGGAAGTTCCCGGCGTGCGGAGAGAGCGAGGCGTGGGCACGGTGTGGGTAGCGGTGCAGATCCGTGGCCGGGCCTGGTGGACGGGTAGGTAGATGGGTACGTGGAGGCGTAGGTGGACGGGCGTAGATGAGTAGGTGGTGAGGTGGTGTTCAGGCCAAAAAGGCATGGGGCTTGGTAGGGAGTTGGGTGGCTGGGTAGTCGCCAGTATATGGCAAGATGAACAATTTATATTAATCTGTATCCAATGTTCAGTTCATTAATTTTGCGTGTTATTTTTTTTTACCTCATCATTTTGGGGGAGCAGTGGCAGCTCTGTGAACCTGGAAACCTGAGTTTCATTCCCGGCCACGCCTCATATCAGTGGCGAGTATTGTCTGAACCGGTCCTGGGCACCTCCCCTTCATGAACCCGCCCTGACCAGCGTGGTGAATTATCGTCAAACAGTCCCCGCGACCGACGTGGTGTCAGCGGGGCCTTCGTTTCAGCACGTCGGGCTTGGGGTTGTTTGACCATACTTCACCACGCTGGTTAGGGGGGGGTTGGTAAAGGTGAGGTACCCAGACCGGTTGAGATATCACTCGCTACGGACGTTGTCTATGGACGGGAATCCAACTCGGGTTGCCGGATTCTTGTCTGCAGTGCGATAACCACTAAGCCACCGCTGCACACCCGTTTAAAATATTTTGTTGTAATTACTGCATTTGGTCTCATGTGGGTATGTGTACGTACGCTTTTATGTGTGTGTGTATCTTAATGAAATGATGCAAGCGTTAATCATGCGTGATGATTGATGACCACTGTGTTGATGACGATTCTTTACAGGTCAGTGCTCCATCTGTCAGACGATTCTTGAGTGATCCACACTCATGAAGATGCATTCTCTGGCCCAATCTAACACGCATGTTGCATGAACATGCGGTATGTTTATATTTGAAGCTTTCGTGACTGCAAGGATTCATACTCTTTGGTTTTTTTCGGTAAAGTCACGTAGGTAAAATAAAAAAATAAAGAAAACAATTAGCACCTTGATGCAGCGATCTTGCTGTGACTGTTCCACCTGAAGACGGAAGCTTGTGTTGCCTCCGAAACGTCGTGATTTGATTGTTTTATTTTTATTTTACCTACGTGACTTTACCGAAAAAAACCAAAGAGTATGCGGTATGTTGTTAAAATCACAAACGCTGAGCGCAGGGCTCCCGAAAGGCCCAAAAACGGCAAGCGTCCGGCGGCGACAAACGGCGCTATCGAATGCGTGGCGGAGCAGAGAGTTCGACACAGTTGATTGGCTTGAGCAAGGTTGCCATGATGAGAGCTTGGGGAAGAGAGACGACGATGGGAGGGGAATTCCACGTTGGAGCGGCACGACCTGCGGGCGTCGGGCTAGACGACCGCACGCGCCCTCCGCCCCCCCCCCCCTCACTCTCTCTCCGTGCCCCCCCCCCCCCCCCCCCACCACCACAGCCGCGTCTGGGCCGCGAGGACGTGGACCTGGGCATCCTTATCGCGGTGCTGGCGTTCATCTGCGCGCTGTGCATCGCGCTGCTGCTGCGAGTGCGTTTCACGCAGCGCCGAGCCCAGGTACCGGCCCCTCCCCCCATCTTCTTTCACCCTCCGCTCGCTTCCACGGGAACTCATGGCACGCACACACACACGCACACACACACGCACACACGCACACACACACGTACACACGCACACACACACGCACACACACATGCACACACACACACACGCACACACGGACACACGTACACACACAAAAACAAAGACCCCCGTATAGCCTCTCTAACAGTCTGTTGGGCCTGTTTGCGAACACCTATGAAGGCTGCTATGGGCGTGATACAGCCAGCACCACGCCCAGCCCCCTTTGTCTCCCCAGTGGCACTGTTTACACACCGCACCGGATATTCATTTGAGGCAGAGTCGACCTAGGGGAGGCCCAGGACAGGTTCATATAATCGTCGTTCCCCACACACACACAATGAGGCAGCCGCTCCCTCCTCTTCCTCCTCCGGTGGCGCCCACGTGGTGGTGGTGGTGGTGGTGGGAGGGAGTTGAGTTGGGGCAGAGCGCCGTGTTGAGCCGGCGCTGTGGCTGCACCGGGGACTTGCGTTTCCGCTGCTCGGCGCAGCGACTTCCTGGATTGTGATTCTAACTTCCAGTACCTGGTGGCGCTTGCCGTTGTTGCAAACGAATCGCTGCATAGCCGATTGCTGAGTTTGGCGGTGAGGATCGCACTGATAAACGCCTGCACACGGCACGGCTCATTGGTGTGGCTGGCAGGTGGTGGAGGGTCTAGACGACACAGATTTGGTCAGATAGTTACTGGGCCTTGAAAATGTATTACAATATCATAAACCGTTTTTACATGTTTTTAAAAATATTACTTTATCTTCACTTGAAAGACATTATCTAATTGTGGTGATGCTGCATCGCCGTCCTACGTTCCTCCGGCAGCTCGTCATTTCGTTCGCTCTACCATGGCTGCCATCCTCTGTCTCCTACTCCAACTCACCCGAGCCTCCATCAGTTGTTTCTCTTCACTGCATCCACCGATCACAGCTCGCTATCCTGCACGCTCGCCGTACCTGCGTGGTATAGCGTTTTGCAGGTTGCCTCTGCGCTAACGCTTGGTCCTTTAATATCAGATGTCAGTAGCTAAGGCTGGGTGTGGCCTGCACAGTGCGGGTGCCACAGTGGCGAGATGTCAACTACCTCGCCTGGTATACAGAAGGACGTGGGTTCGATCCCGACCCTGACTGCTGCTGCTGTATATTTGGAGGTTTGCGTGTCTCTATCTCGGGGTCCTCTGGTTTTTCCCTCCACGTTTAGAATCAACATCACGCGTTTGGTAGGTCGACGCTCGCTGGCCGAAGCTGTGTTCACCTCGCGCCATGCAGGGACAGCTGCCAGCGCGGGGGTCCCCTGCGGCGGCAGTGCCCCTTGGGGTGTGCTGCATGGGAGGCACGCTGTAAATTCTGTTCTCGCACGTGATGGCAATGTATTCAGGAGCTCGATGCCAATGTCGAGGCCTGCTGGCCACGACGAGAGGGCTTCAGGAGAGAGTTTGTTTTGTTTTGCTGTTCCTCTATTAAAGGAACACAGACTACAGTAGTTTACTGTGCGAGTCCATAGTTTGGGTTGCATGGCATCAATCCGTACGACTGTGTCTTTGTCTTTAATTTTGCATTCATGAAGGATATGTGCGCATCGAGCTACTGCTGATGTTCTGATGAAGTGGTTGATGGTTCCACCAGTGTCTTCGAGGAACGTCAAATACTTAAGCGGTGTAAACACTTAGCGAAGATGCTGCTGCTGATGTTAACAACCGCATGGGTCGTGATTCTACGCGCAGAGCATCGTGTCACGACGGGGCGCCAGCGTCATCAGCCGCCTCCAGACCCGGCACTATGTCAAGTCGGTGGGGGGGGGTGGTGGATCGGGCGGGGGCCCCGGCGGGGGCCCCGGCGGCGGGCGAGGGGGCGCCCGAGGGGCGACCGGAGGAGCCCCCCTCGACCCCGGCGACCTCTCGGAGGGGGCGAGCAGCACGTCGGACCCGGTGTGCGCCGTGTGCCTCGAGGAGTTCCAGCACGGCCAGGTAAGAGCAGCTGCCTCTCCGCCTGGTTTCCCGTGATATATTTGAATCGACAGTCTTGCATTCGCCTTCTATGTCCGTGCGGATCGCTGCCAACGTGACCCCTGGCGGCGATGGTTCTGGCCGCGCCGGGCCTCGGCAACGCATGGCGCTCAGCCACAGGCCCTGTCGTGAAGGTCTGGCACAGGCAGCCATTTTGTATGTGTGCATATTCTGTGCCCACGTGAGCATGAATTTGACTAAATCACCCAGAATGCTATGAGTGTTGAGACTGGGCAGTGCTCCCTGCTCATTGGTTATTCCTGACATGACGGGAAAAGCTCGGTTGCGGTTAATTGTGCAAAACCTCACTGATTTTCTGCGTGGAGCGTCTTCAATAATATATAACATTATTTGGAATATCTCCGCTTACAATTAAAACAGAACTTTGTGCTCTCGGCCTATCGGCCTCATAAACATGTTGCCAATGGGCAGCGTTCGTTTTAAGCGTGCAAACTTTGGACTGGTTTCGACCTTTCCAGTTTCCGTCAGGAGAGCCGGGCGTGTCACCGCTGGTTGCATTGCCAGGCTGCCGCCTCGTGGCAACCTGCGAGCAACCCCCTAGCAACCATCTAGCAACCCGTGAGCAACCCGCACGCTCCACGGCTCCGCGCGACTCAAGCCGAGACACATTGAGTGCCACGGTTGCGAGATGTTAGCTACCTCACTTGGTATGGAGGAGGTCGTGGATTTTTATCGAGATCTTTCGGTTTTTCCTTCCACATTTAGAAACATGCGTTTTAAAGTATTTGGCTGCTATAAATTTCCACGTGAAGAGCCACTTTGTCGAGCTATCATTTGTGGCCAGGTCGCTTCTGAAAAAATAGCTACATAGCTCAGTGGGCCTTTAACTGGTAAAATAAAACGTCAAGTTTGGTTTAGTAACCGCGCACTTCCTTCGTGAAGCGCTCACCGACCGTCCCGTGCTCGCGTAATCTGCGTGCGCTGGGCTGTGCAATGCGTGGAGGTGACGAGTCGGTGGTAACGGTAAAACGTTGAAATGCCTCGTTCGGTGGAAGCGTGCAGCCCCGTTACATTCTAAAACTTTTCCTTTGAATTCCTCTTGTGCGGATGACGTGTTCCTCGACGCGCAACACGCTGTTGCGATTACCGTCGCTAGCCAGCTGCGTGTGTCCGCGCGCGTGCTTTGTGCGTGCGCGCATGTGCGTGTGTGTTGTGCGCGTGAGCTCGCATGCCCGTGTGCGCTCACATTAGTATGCGATCGTTTTAAATCCCCCTACTCCGAGGGGTCTTATCCCCTTCTGAAAAGCCGCCACCGCCTCCCACGGCTATTTTTCTTTTGTCCTTTTTATTTTCTGACCACGCACTCGTCCCCAACTGTGACCTTTCCTTTCATTCTCCCACTCACGCTCCCGTCCACCCCCCCACCCCTCTCTCTCTCTCTGCCGAGTAGGCCTGACCCCCTCACGCCTCCATCGCACTCGTAGCCCGTTTCATCCCTTCCACTGCTACTCGACCTCTGCACGATAACGACTGCGAGCCGTAAACAAACCGTCTTTGTCTCTGCGTCTCCGTCTGCTCTAGTTCCTCCGAGTCCCTTTGCCCATGATTCGCTCGTCTCGCCCCACATTCCGCTGCACTTGCTTCATCGTGCGCCCCTGTGGTTACACGACCCAGCGGTAACGCGTTCGCCGCATGTTTGTTCGCGGTTCAAATATGGCAGGCCACCCTGGTTATTACAGCGGGCGTAAGAACTGTAAAATGCGTTTCTTCACAGTGGACGTTCCCCCTGATGCCATTTGGCATCACAGACCAAATCTTCCAAATTCGCAAATATTACACTGCAGATGACTCCATTGAGACCGCACAGAGCAGCAGCAGCAGTCATCGCCCCCCACTGGACTAAATGCCCGCTCGCAGGCCAGGCTCCGAGTCACCCTGTGCCGCACAGGGAAGACCGCCACGGGGGGTGTCCTTTCATATGTTTGAGATGAGATGTAATTTGCGGATCGTGAGCAAAGCGCCCCAAGACGCCGCCGGCGTGGAGGAGGGGGTGGCTCCATGGCCACGTGTGGCGCATTCTCTCACCGTCGCGACAATAACAACGACCTCCGTTGGTGTTGCGCAGGAGCTGCGGGTGGTGCCGTGCTCCCACGAGTTCCACCGCGAGTGCGTCGACCCCTGGCTCGTGCAGCACCACACGTGCCCCCTGTGCATGTTCAACATCACAGGTGCAAACGCACGCACGCACGTGCTCGCACCCACGTGCATGCACGCGTGCACCCATTCGCGCATGCAAACACGAAGATCCTCTCTGTAACCCTAACAGACTGTAGGGGCAAGTGCTGTTAGCGAGCACCTATGAAGGCCGGCACGGCACACGAGGGGGTGGGTGGCCAGCACCACGCCCCACCGCCTTTTTTCTCCCCAGTGGCGATGTTTACACACCGCAACAGTTACTCATTTTGAGGCCGAGTCGACCTAGGGGTGGCCCAGTACTAGTTCTGATTGCTGTTGGCTCCGAGGAATGATCAAACCGGATTCGAAGTGCGGCAAGCCACCCACTCTGCCACCGCTCCCCCCATACGCACTCGCCATCACACCTGTCCACGCGCTCGCGTGCTCGTGGTCACGCCGCTCCGCTGCTCCTCCTCTGCAGAAGCGTTGCACTCCCCGCCCGCCGGCATCCCCTGCCTCGAGTCGCGGCCCCTGCGGACGCCGGGCGGCCCGCAGCAGCAGCACCACTCGGGACGCCTCGCCAACCCTGCCGGCCTCGCCAACCCCGGCGGCATCGGCAACCCCGGCAACGGCGGGGGCGGCGGCGCTCCCGCCTCCTCCTCGTCCGCCGCCGTCGGCGTGCCGCCCCCGTACCCCGGCCGGGCTCGCTGGGTGCCCACGTCGGACCCGCGGGCACCGCCGCTGCCTCTGTCGGCGCAGCAGCAGCAGCAGCGCGGCCGCTACGGTCAGGCGCACCACGCCGCGGCGGCGACCGGGCGGTTCGCGAGGTCGTCTCAGCGCCACCACCACCACCACCACCCGCTCTACTTCGGCGTGGAGAGGGCTGCCACCGCGGCGGCCGCAGCGGCCGCGGTCGGCACAGCCGGGGCGGCGCGGGGAGAGGGCGGGGCGGCGGCGGCGCCCGTCGACGGTGGGGGCGGCGGCGTCGAGAGGGAGCGGCCCGATGAGCGGTTGGAGGCGGTGGAGCGGGGGCCGGGGTTTGCACCGCCCCGGGCGTACGGAGGCGCGGAGGCGCAGAGATTTTCTCGCCACGCATTCCCGCCGGTCTCAGGTACACGAGAGCTCGCGGCGCTCGCCCCCCCGTCATTAACGTCGTGCGGTTACACGGACGGACGGACGCGTGGACGGCGAACTCACCCGTGCCACTTTTTGCCATTGCAGGAGGCGACGTGCACGGCGCCGAGTACTACACGTACTGGGAGGAGACGCACAGACACTGGTACACTTACGGGCAGCGCCGGGGCACGCACACGCTGGTGCAGCACAGCGGCCAGGCGCCCGCCGAAACGCAGGGCGGCGGGGGCGGCGCGCCCCTCCCGGGCCACCAACCGAGCGCTCAGCAGCAGCAGCAGCAGCAAAGCCGCTGGGAACTATCGCACCTGCATTACCACCACCACCTGCACCATCACCACGTGCCTCCGAGGCACCATGGCGGTGGTAGCGGTGGCGGCGGCCTTTCCCACCCCCAGCACCAGCCGCAGCAGCAGCAGCAGCATCAGCCGCAGCAGCATCAGCACTACCGGCACAACAGCAACAGCTCCGGCGAGAGCGGCCGCCGGGGCGACCATAGCTCGTTCAGCGGCTACGCGGCGGACGGCACCGCGAGCGACGACTCGGCGCTCTTCGACTCGGCCAACGATGCCAACAGTCGGCGCGGCGTCTACGGGAGCCAGTCAACGGTGCGCAGCTCGCTCAGCAGCGACTTCGACCCCTACGTCTACCGCGGTGGGGGTGGCGGCAGTTGCGGCGGTAGCGGCAGCACGGGGGAGACGGGTGCCGCCTCCGAGCCGGAACTGGCGGCGCCGCCGACGGCGGCGGCGGCGGCGGCCGGTACGCCGAAGGCGGCGACCCCGGCGGCCGAGAGGAGCCGGGCCGCCCACCCGGCCCTGTCGTCTTCGTCGTCCTCGTCGTCGCTGCTGCAGTTGCAGGCGTCGCACTGCCGCGGCTCGGCCGAGATGCACATGGACACGGAGAGCTGCTCCGTCAGCTTCACCAACACGGGCGGCAGCGCGAGCGCCTGCGGGCACCGGCGTCCCAGGACAGACGCCGCCCCACCTGCACCGTGCCCGCCGCGCGGCCCCGCCGGCGGTGAGCCGCGTCGGTGCTCGCCGGCGGCCCCGGCGGCCCCGGCGGCCGAGGCTCGGGGCTGCCACAATTGTGCGGTGGATTTGTCACGGGCGTCGCTCGGCATGCGGGACTGCAAAGGGGCGTGCGACGACGGCGCTCGGTGCACTTGCCCCAGCGGACTCGGCGCTCGCGGCAGCGCCACAGAACTCTCGCGATCCGAGGCCGCAAAAGTAGAATGCAAATGTCGCTCATCTCCTCCGTGTCCTCCTCCTCCGCGTCCTCCTCCGTCCGCGCCGCAGCACGTGACGCTGCCCAGCTGCTTCCGCCACGGCGCCAGGGTCCAGATCGGCGATCACCTCCCTGCCGGTGGCACGCGGCTCTTGGAGGTTTGCCTCGGCTGCCGCGATGGCAAGGGACTCCCCGGCGGCGCCACCACCGTGGGCCGGCGTTGCCACGGCGCCCAGGCATGCCCGGGCTCGGCCAGAGCCACGGGGGCAGCGGCCGGCAGTCGCGCCCGGCATCAGGAGCGAGACTCCGGCGGCGGCGGCGGCGGCGGCGGCGGGCGGCCGACCGCGTCGCCGTCGCTGAGCAGGTCGGCGCTCAGGAGGCATTCTGGGAAGGGGCGTGAAGCCGGAGAGAGACTCTTGAGCAGGTCGGACTCGAGCCGGACGAGGCACGCAAAGGAGGGCCCTGCGGGGGAGAGGACGCTGCCCGAGGAGCGGTGGGAGAGCGCCGCACCGCTCCTGGCGAGCAACTCGGAGAGGCTGACAGGTGAGGCGCTTGCGTCTGAGGGACGGTTTAAACGTCGAGGCTGCGAGTCGAGCGCCGTACCCCATGGCATCGCCTCGTCGCAGATTGCCCGGACTTGCTGGCGTTTTTTTTTCCATTGCGTTCCGTGTGTCACGTTTGCCTCCTTTTGGCTCTCGCCCCAGCAGGCCTCGGTCACGCGACATCATCGATGGAGCGAGACTCAGACGAAATTCACTCCCCGCTCGCCACCTTGGTGTGACCGCCGTACACACGCACGCGGGGTTGGGTGGCATCCGCGTCGTCATTCAGATTCCTCAAGACTCGGCCCTTCCCGCCCCATCTCATCCCCTCGCAAGCGTCCTTCTCAAAGTGTCGTTTTTTTCTCACCAGCAGTAAGCTACAAACCAGTGTAAGTGCAACAATTATTGTGATTATTATTATTATTGTTGGTAACTCCAGTGGACCCATAGCAACTGGAAAGTGACCACGGACCATTGCTGGCGCTGGAGGAACTCCTCGACAGCTCTCCTCTCAAGCCGCCGGGGGCGTGATCACGGAGACACCGTCGCCTGCAGGAGAGAGAGAGAGCGGAGGACGTGGCTGTACGGAGCGCCGCACGAAATGCACGCTTCAAGATTCGTGTCCACTACCTTGCCCTGCGACCATTTGATTCCTGCTCACAGTTTACCTCTCAACTCAGTCTCACGTCTCATTTCGTTCTTTTGGTCGAGTTGTTTTTATTTTCTGCACGAGTGCGTGCCTCCCGAAAGCACACAGCTGCCATCCACGGCGCGAGCCGCGGGCAAACTGCGTCATCTTCCGTTGGTTTTGAACTTTTGAGGCAACCGCTCTCAGCAAGGGAATTGAAGCAAAAAAATGCAACGCGGAGGACGCAACTGAGAGGTCTGAAACAACATAGGTCCTTTTTATTTAATTGCAGCAAAAGTCATTCTAGTTTAACAATAATATCACCGTTACATTATTTTGTTTTTTATTTTGCCTGGCAACTTTGAAACCGTGCGCACGGCGGGGGGGGGGGGGGGGGGGGGGGGGCAATGCTGCGTCGTGTCCGCAGCTGAGAACACGAACCGTGGCGGAAGACGGTCCGGGGGAGAGGTGCGGGGTGGCGGCAGCGGCGGTTGTGGCCCACGCGACGGACGCGTCCCTCCGAGCACTTAAACGATTCCGCTTACATCGTCGTCGTTGCCATCTCTGTCGCCCCGCTTGCGAACGTCACCACCGAGTAACCCCCCCCCCCCCCTCCCGAACCACCGCCGCCACGTCCGGTGCTGTGGAGCGAGTTGCCACCCCGGCGGCGATCGTCACGTGCACCCAAGCGGAGCGCACCGGGATAAGAGACTGCAAACAAATGTTGTTAGACGTGCGTGTGTATATACATTATTATTGTTATAATACACGAAAACGGTTGTGTTATTTATTGCAAGAAGATGTCATTATTGTGAATGTACTGAACTAAATTGGTCACCAGTTATTTGTCCACCATTAGCTGAACAACAACGCTCGATGCCCTCACTTTGAGTGATCCTGCAGGTGCCCTGGCCGCAACCTAAACCAGAGCCCTCCCTCCCCCCACCCAGAGAGCGCCTCTTGGCCTCAATTTGAATAAGTCCACAAATTTCCACCTCTAGTTTTCTGGTATGAAGCGAGACACGTGCCGCCGCCGCCGTTCGGTGAATAGCTGTGATGCAGCAGCAGTGGATTCATCCCCGACTACTCCGCCGCAGGGAATGCAATGAGGTTCATGCGGCTGCTCAAGATGCACCTGCTCAGCTGACAGCCCAGCACTGCCGAATGCCTTGTTGTTAGCGGTCACCTCTGCTTTCCAGTCGGTCGATTTGAACCTTCCCCGCGTGTGCCGTCGTGAAATCGCTGTGCCACGACTTCGGTTGACGGTGGCGACAACTTTCCTGAAACCCAGCTTTCCCGCGTGAGGTCGGTTGGCCTCTTAAGTTGTTGGACGAAGGAGTGAGCGCAGTAAGTGGGTTAACGGCACTGTTGTACTTTTAGTGTTTTTACCTCAAAACGCATGGGTTTCCCCCAGGTACTCCTGTTCCCTTGCAAGCACGAAAAATACTCGGTAATTAATTGGCCACACATCCCAAGCAGGAACTTCCTGTCTGCAAAGTATAGTCCGTTAGCCCCTCACAGCGCAACCGCAAAATCGCCACTCATAACCACCGCAGCCACTAGCCGTCTGATACCATCGTGCAGGCCGCCACATAATTGCCTCGAAACCTCTCCAGTACCTTTCCACTCCCCTCCCCATTGGCAATTGCGTGGCTAGCTTTTGGTGACCGGTGCAGGCAACGTGTGATGCTGGTGGTAGCGATGATGGTGATGGTCCTGCTGCACCAGTGGCCATGGTGACGAGGATTGTAGCAATGATGATGATTCTGCAACACCAGTGCTGGGCTGCACCAGAGCCATTCCCCTGAGAAGCTGCATGGGCAGCGCTGATGATGAAGCCACTGCCAGCGCATTCCAGTTTCTCAATTAGTCGACCTGAGACTAGGAGGCCAGAGGTAGACTTTGTTGTTCCCTGAATCTGAAGCCACATGCCACCATTGGCCTCAGCTAATGCCTCGCAAATTCAAAAGAGATTAAGCAATGGTACTACTCAGTGAATATTTAACTTAATAACAAATAATGTTCAGCCCTTTTGTAAAGCCACTGCTGGATGAAGGCCTCCCCACGCCGTGTCGGTTATGGGGGTTGTTTTTCCATACTTCACACTTGTCAGTTCGAGCTGGCATAGATAGATAGGTGAGGAGACCTACGACTGGTTCAGATATCGTTCGCGACTGATGTTAGCCATGGCTGGGAATTCAACCCGGGGGCGCCGGGTCCGTAGTATGGTGCAGCGAGCCACCACGCTGCCACTCCCCATATTTAACTGAACGCTCAACCACGTGGCCATCGACGTGGTGCGATCCCGCTTTAATTCAAAGCTCTCGTTATTTAAATACTTCCCTAACCCCGGTTCATGTTGAAAGTCCTTAATTTATAAACCCGCCACTGGGTGTGCGCAAAACGAAGATTGTGCCCTTGCGTTTGTCGATTGTAGCACGTGCGCAAGGGTGATGGAACGTCGTGCTACCTATCGGTGTGTTTGCACACACACACCTATGTGAGCCGCCTCACTCACTCGCCGCAACTCCACGAGCCCAGAGCAGATGTTTCAATTGTCGGTACCAGAGCTGGCGTCACTTTTGTGGGTTCCAATTTTCGTACATGGCCAACACCAGTGAGTCGCGATGAGTCAGAACAAAGCATCGAGACCTCGGTGCTCTCTTCCTTGTTTACAACTCGAGCCAAGCTGCGTTAAATTCCACATTCCTAGCGTGCAGGGGTGAGTCTATCCATAGGATAACCACTCTCGACTTCCCCCACAATTTATGAGCCCGCAGAGTCATGCCGAGTCGACCCCCAGTCAGAATGTGAACTCGCGACCTTCTGATTGCGAGTCGCTTGCTCCACCGCTGAACCACCTGATAACTCGCTCGTATTGGCCGGACAGGGAAATTGCTCCCACTGCCCCCAAAGTGTCGCTACGTTCGGTGGCATCCATGTCTGCCCTAGCCTGTGAACTGTCGCTCTCTTTCTCTCTCTCACCATTCAGGCCGATGGCCCAGCGCTCGCCTGCCCTGGCAATTCAGAAGCAGCCGCAGGTGACGCTTTCGAATAAAAGTTTTCAATTTGTACGTCACATTTCGCACGCTGTCGCGAGCGGCCTCCGCCGATTCACAAGACGACAAACAAAACAACCTGGGTTGTAATATTTAAAGTAGTTCGGGGTTTTATTTATTTGTTTATTTTTATTTCTCTCGCCGTGTACAAAAAACATAATGTTAATTTAATTATTAATTTAAAAGCCAGGCCATTGTGATTCCCGCGTAGCTTGCTCGCCCTGCAGCGTTCTCGGGGAGAGTCAAGTGTTCAGTAGCCTGTCCCGGAGTGCGGGAGTCGGTGGCAGTGGTGATGCAGACGCACAGGAGCCAATGTCTTGGCACCGCGTGACGACAAATTCCCGCATGGAGCCGAAACGTGACGATTGCGCAAAAGGCTCGGGAAATGATTGCGACTATCGCAGAAAGCGGCGAGCCGGGACGGCTGCGACGTGCTGTCAGGTGCAGCGCTTGGCATGTGGGCAGAAGCCGCGCTTTGACGTGACCTGTTTAAATGTTAATTTCAAAGAATAATCAGTTTTTGTTAATTTTATTGTCACAAAGAGGGCAAGGGAGGTCTCGACTTTTCTGCCGGCCGACCTTCATATTTCCTGAAGAAGGGCATTCAGCCGAAACGTCGAGATCTCTCCTCTACGCAAGTGTTAAAACAAACCTCTCCGATGCGTTTTCCGGTCGTACCGCGCGTTGTTCAAGCACCCGCGTCCGACGTTGCGCTCCGCATCCTGGGAGTTTCTTCAGGAACAGAATTCCGGAAACGGTTTCTGCACAAAAAGCTAACGCAGTATGCAGCGTGAAACGTTGGACATCGCGCCGAAATTCACGCGCCACAACCCGAGACCTCATTGGAGAGCTGAACGGCACAACCGCGAAAAATCTACTCGGTGGTAAAACAAACTGAATGGTTGTAAAATGGCCCCGTTATTTCACGAGTGAGTTCGCCGACGCAACAGCTTGATGCCACGTGTTATGCGGCTCGAGGGCCGTGATGTCACGTGTTATGTGGCTGGAGGGCCGTGATGTCACGTGTTGTGCGGCTAAAGGGCCGTGATGTCACGTGTTATGTGGCTGGAGGGCCGTGATGTCACGTGTTATGTGGCTGGAGGGCCGTGATGTCACGTGTTGTGCTTCTAAAGGGCCGTGATGTCACGTGTTGTATGGCTAAAGGGCCGTGATGTCACGTGTTGTGCGGCTAAAGGGCCGTGATCTCACGTGTTGTATGGCTAAAGGGCCGTGATATCACGTGTTGTGCGACTAAAGGCTCGTGATGCCACGTGTTGTGCGGCATAAGGGCCGTGTGAACAATGGGCGTGTCCTGGGAGATAATTCCATTCCGTGGCTCGGAGAAGCGGCGCACCATTTGCTGGCTTTCCACCCTTGCCACGTTACTCCGGGCCCTGCTTCTGCTTGGTACAGTACTACAGGACCGAATTAAGAGCATTCGTACTCCTGCCATCACCATCATCGTCGTTGTGGTTCTGCGAAGCCAACCCAAGATGCCGTGCGCGTCGTCTGACGGCGTTCACTTTCCAAGTTGCTGTCTTGTCGCACATTTCAGTTTCAAGATGGTTACCGATGATCGTTAATTCGTGTTATCGTTATCAGTTCTGACAATTCTGTAATAATAACGACCCTCTGTGCTGCTGTGTGGCTCATCCTTGCAAAAGTAACTGCTGGGTGGGGGGGGAGGGCGTTGTAGCTGGTTGTAAATAAAAAATGTTATTTTTATTTGTTTCACCCAAAACTTTAACTACGTTGCTTCGACACGCCATGACTGGCTTAAACACCTAGACGACATCTTGCCCTGGTGAATAAACACGAGCACAAACATCGGTTACCAAGGTACATCATAACCATTCCCTCCCTCGGCTATCCATCCACCAGGTCACCGCCAAAAGTTCCACGGACTTGGCAGCGTTGCGAATCGGCTGAAGCGGGTGAAGTTAAGGGATGCGAACCAGGGGTTGTTTGTTGGTCTGGGTTCAGGGTGTGGATCACAGAGAGAAAATATCAGCTGGGTAGAGCGAGAGAGGCGCTAATATATCTGCGCGCCCGTGTGCGTGTGTCTTGCGAGTCCTAGTGTGTCGATACATGTGTGTGTGCATCTTCTTACCTGTGGTGTGTGTGTGTGCATCTTCTTACCTGTGGTGTGTGTGTGTGCATCTTCTTACCTGTGGTGTGTGTGTGCATCTTCTTACCTGTAGTGTCTGTGTGTGTGTGCATTTTCTTACCTGTGGGGTGTGTGTGTGTGTGCATCTTCTTACAAGTGGTGTGTGTGTGCATCTTTTTACCTGTGGTGTCTGTGTGTGCATCTTTTTACCTGTGGTGTCTGTGTGTGT